AACTGTTGCCAAACTATCGAAACTCGCCTTCTTCATCAGAACTTTCACAGTTATAGATATCTTTCATTAGATTTTTGATTATAAATGTTCAAAGGGAGTATTGCATTCTATTATAATTCACTGGAAAGCCCTCCGCGGCTTGTTAGTTTCATTACAGAGAGATCATATTGATTTCCTCACATATCAATGTTCGACTTTAAAATCTACTGCAACCGGTATGAAAGATTCGAATGGCCTTGTGGATTAAATTTTTAGGAAGGACGTAGGCCCAAAGGCGCTCTCTAGGATGAACGCTTTAGAGGGAGTCAATCGCCTTTTTATTGGTAGATTCATGTAGCAAAATGGAGAGATCCACCAATAAGGAGGACGAAAGAGTCTCACTGACTCCACCCATGAGCTCAGCTTCGAAGCAACCTCAACAATGTTCCATGACGCTAATGCAAATTAGTGCAACAAGTGAAGTAGTGCGAAAGAAGCTATTTTATTTATGGTTGAATTCTTTGGTAACAAGTTCCTAATTTGATTTTAAATAATGCGACCGTTTTAAGAAACTTTGGAGCTTTTCTTGAACATGCGTAATTAGCAACGCTAATGTGTTGAGTGCATGCCAGAAGAGTATTTACAAAGACTTGCGTAACCAAGCAGAGTGCTTTGTGAGATGTAAGTGACTATAAAAAAAGTAGGGTGGGGTTCTACGGTTGTGATGTTTTTTCTAGAAACAAAAAGCTAGAAGAAAAACTTTCTTCATCGAATGCGCCTCGTACTGTAAAGAATTAATTGGTGAAAAGGCTTTAAAGAAAATAAGGAACGGAAGGCAAATGTGTTCATCCCAAATAAGTAGTATCTAGTTTGGAAGTCCAAATTTTTCGATTGACGGGGTTATCATGGTAGTTTACTGTTTTTTCCTCAAGGGAACTTTGTATCACTTAACGACTTAAGCGTCTGCTAAAGCGTGGTCTTCGCCTTTTGCCAAGAAACTGAATCGCCGCTTATCCTGTGTTTGACCCAAATAACTGTTACTTTGAGAGCTGAATGTTCCCTATTTATAGCAGCTAAGTTTTTCGATATGAACCGCAATAAGGTTTATGCGTCCTTCCAAACAAGAAATAATAAGAACAACTCCTCCTGCTGCCAACCTCAACGATCTTTTGCCAACGCTGCGCAATAATCCGGATCTGCTCGGAATACCGCTTAATGTTCTTTTTATCGAAGTTCCTCTAGATGCACTAAGTTCAACTTCATAAACAAGGCAATCAGCAGCATGGCGAGAAATTTTCTAAGCTCCTTTTATGGATCGTTTTTCGGGAAGAGCACGGCCATTCCCATCCGAAGGCACGGTTCGCGATCGAATTGGTGAACTTTTTCCTCAAAAATCAAACATGAAGTGCGAAGAGGAGCGTTACGGAAGAAGAAAAAAGCGTTATGGAAATCACGGAAATCTTCTTTGCGGTGCAAATTAGAAGCACAGGCAGCGCTGCGAGGAGTGGAAACGCCAAAGGCCAGTCCGCGTCGTACGCCAGAGGGCGCAGACGCCAGGTATGATAACGATAGAAGCAGCCGCTGCAGTCAAGTTGAAGCATTAGCTTTTTGAGCCGCGGCAGCACCACCACCAATATGATTATATGCCGTGTCCCATTTCATCAAACAAAGAATTTTTCCATGGGTCCAATCGCGGCCCATTCCTTTAAACACTCAAAGGCAAACTCAACGAGCTGCCCACTTAGCAGACTGGGGCGATTGTCTCTGACAGTAAGCCATGACGGTACGCGGCTACAGCTGTTGTGCTGACTTGGTAGTTCGGACATGCATGAAGAAGGCCGGCGCTTG